GCCAAGCGAGGAAAGCTATGGAAACCAAAATTAGGGAAAGCCCTAGGCATTGAGACACCAGGCAAATCTGTGTCCGTATGTGTCCGTAGATGTTTCTACTAGACTCGCTGATAGCAAACTCGACCCTGAAGAGCCCAGGAACGCGTTGTTTTCTGAGCATGTCTTCTACAGCCACGAACCGATGTCGAACAGATTTAATTGGGAACAATACTCAAAAGTACCAGGGAGCCTTGCATTGCACATACTCTGAAGCTGCATGTATTTGTTTTGGTTGTTCTATGTATATACGTATATATATATATATACACACATATTACACACGCATGTCGTCGACATCATCATGTCTCACTACTGTTCCAACTTTGCATCTGTTTCTTGGCACATCATGCCGACCGAAAAATGAGTGCTGCTTACATCAGATGTTCTGATATGTGGCTTTCTGAATGTATGAATGTGAACCGCCACCACGGGCTTCCCCCTTCCAGGAAACCTCAGGACCCCTGCAGCATAACCATGCAACCATGATGGCCGTAGGGAAATCTGCGCCCCCAAGAACCCCCGGTTTCTAAAACCCGCAGCAGGCTCAACCCGGTCGCGATGAGGGAGGGAGGGCCGGGCGGGAAGTCACACAAAGTCAAAGATACCGCACCGCGTCACAAGCAAATGAGACCTTCGTCAATCTAGCATCCACACAGCGCAGCATGCAACCGAAATCTTTCTTCGTCTGTGTTCTGGCCTTCGTATGGGTACCATGAATACAAATACACAAACACACATGCACACGAGGATCACAAACACAGGCTCACACTCACACTCAGTCGGCATGATGCACTCATGCAAATTACTAGCCTTGACATGTCCCACGACAGTTTCGTGATAGGATGCACGGCTATGGCCCTGAACACTGCACCCCAACTATACGGCTTGCTTACTGGGATTACCCGTTCGCAAAGAAATTTTCCTTGGCCCTAATCCTTGTTACCAGACTTGGGCGCATCCTGTGGGTCTTTTGCGCCTGACAGGCTGCTGGCAGTACCGCCCAACGCCCCCGAAAGCCCTCTTTCGTAAGACCCGCGGAGCGGCTGATGCCGTAACCGCCGTGCAGCCAACGAGGCTTGGGGCGCTGCTACCTCCGACTCTCTATGACTCTGAGAGCACAGGCTTCCGGCTTAAAGCCTACAAGGCCCAAGGCCGCACCACAGCCAAGGCCGCGCCTGTCGCGCTGGCTCCTGCAGCCGCCCGGCCGCGCAGCTGCACGCTACTTCTCTCCGGGGCCGCCTTCGCCAAGCCGCGTGCAGTTTACCAGGAGCAGGGGAAATGCAACCGCGGACGAAGACTGAACCAATGCTGCGGCCCCGCGGGCCCGCCAGCCTGTGCAGCTGGGCCGCTTTGGACGAAGGCCTCGGCTTCCAATGAAAATGCGACCTTTTACCTTTCCTCTCTTGAAGCTCTAGCTTCCTTGTTGGCACCGTTGTGTCCATCTAAAGCTTTGAACCTACCTTCGGATTCAACAAGAAAGTCCCAAAACCGGAAACTGAGATCTGCAGCGCAGGTCTCAGACGTTGCTTCTCGACCGAATTCCCAAGACTTGCCCCCCAAAACCACCGCATCTGAAGCCCTGGTGGCCGTTGTGGCCAACGTGGCCGCCGCGCCGGCGACAGCCAAAGCGGTCTTCTGGCCTTGGCGGGACGCGCTGGGCGTGTGCAAAACGATCATCTGGTCTGATAGAAGCAGCAGCAGCAGCAGCAGTAGTAGCAGTGGCAGTAGCAGAAGCGGTAGTAGTCGTCGTCGTGGTGGTGGCGGCGGCAGGAGTAGCCACAGCGACGGCAATAGTAACAGCAACACCAACAGTAAGAGCAGCAACAATTAACAACAGCAGCAACGGCACAACTTCATGAATAACAGCGACAATTGCAGCAGCAACAACAACAACAAGAGCGCTGCAATCACAACAATAAACAACCGCCACGGCGACCACCACCGCCGCTGCCACCACCGCCGCCGCCACCATCTCGACCACCACCACCACCACCACCACCGAATATCAGAAACATACGACTAGTTGTAAGTATCATGTACATACATGTGCAAAACGATACTGAGATGAATATTAATCCTATGCCCCACATGCTCATGCTGGGGCCAGCACTTGAGGGCATCGTTGCAGTGGCTGGAAGGAAAACAAAACTAGACCAGCCAGACTCTGCAAGAGCCTACAAAAGCCTTCGGTAGTCCAAGTCAGGCAACAATCCGAAAAATGAAGCAATGTGGAATTGCTTCCGTGCTCGGTGCTGAGATGGAGATCTTGCGAAATCTACTCACTTGACTGCTTTCCCGGTGGATGCCTTGAGGCTATCAAGTTACATTGCCTAGACAAGAGCTGCAACGACAGGAAACAGGAACAGCTGGCTGGTGCTTCACCCTGGTTCAGTGGAGGCCTGCATCCAAGACCTGACCCAAGACCTGACGTGTACGGAGCAGTGCGAGTTCTTTAAAGCGAGCTTGCTGCACAGGTTTGTACACTGCCGTTGACGGGCCAAAGCGTGCTGAGCCGCGCATTCGCGTGGCAGCTCTTTAAAATGTGTGCGGGTTAGAGGTTTTGGCTTCGCAAATGCGAGTTTAGGGCTGTGTGGTGTTACGATGTCCGGGCCTCTCCGAGCTGCGCTGTCGCTGCTCCTACCCGTCGAGAAAAACGAGCTCACTCTGCTGGCATAAGTTGCTCAGGACTTGCTCAGGCCAAGCCGAACTGCTCGATGGCATCCTTGCCCGTGTAGGCGCGGAGCGGCGACGCGGTGTAGTTGGCCCAGTCACCCCAGGCGGATCCTGTGAGTCCATCCTGGAAGAACCTCAGATGCACAACATAGACACTTCAGCCTGCTCCTCTGCATGGATGGAGTCGGAAACGAAGCTGCACGATCCCATCTGATCAAACCGACCCTTCCAATAACTCTAAAACCCCTACGACACCCCTCGCACGGAAGCACAAAGCAACTTCGCGTAACTCCTTCGAGGAACATACCAATGATGGCCATCATGGCCAGTCTTCCGTTTGCCAACTCCGCCGACAGCTTCTTGGTCTTCTCAGCAGGGTCCGAAGACGTCAGCACCTTGAAGCCATAGTCGCCGGGAGTGCCGCTCTTGTAATCATCGAAGCCGCCGCTGAACTCAACGAAGCCGAAGTAGGCGGCAATCTGGGCCCAACCTGCCACTGGCACCTTGGACACTGCCGCAAGGCCGTTGGGGATATCGGCGAACTTCAAGCCAGCGGATGGGGACAAGAATCCGGGCCTCAGCAAGCCAAAACAAAGGTAGCGGCTTGAACCAGCAGTGACACGCGCATGCTAGCCTCACACGTCAAGACTGCACTCGTCATGCCTCCCATCGAATAGTTGAGGCTTCGACAGCTTGCCGGTGATCTCAGGGGTAATGTAGCCTTGGGAAGCACACTAAGCTCGAACACACTGCGCCGAAACGAGAGAGTCAGGGATGGAGGTTCTATTCTTTCGGTGTGCTGTTCCAAATATGCGATGCTGCATCCAAAATGCGTTGATGCACATTCTTCAGTGGTCACGAGCACTAGGTCAGCTGCGATTCAAACTAAGCTCGAACACGCTATGCCGAAACAAGAAAGTCAGGAATGGAAGTTCTATTCTTTCTGTGTGTTGTTCTAAACATGCGATGCTGCATCCAAAATGCTTTGATGAACACTCTTCAGTGGTCACGACCACTAGGTCAGCTGCGATTCACAAGTTTAACGAACCTTCTCGCCGACTCGATCAACTATGATGAACTTGAGGGTCAACGTTATGTAGGTGCTATCAAGTGGCCCATGGTCGCCATCATCGAAATGCGGCCGTGCTTCAACTCCACGGATCTGCGGCGCTTGAATGAGGCAACATCGCCATCGGAGGTGAAGCCGACGGGATCCCAGAACCCGACGGGATCCTGCACGCCGAGCTCGCTCTCGAACGCGCGCAGAGGCGACGCGGTGTAGTTGGCCCAGTCACCCCAGGCGGATCCTGTGAGTCCATCCTGGAAGAACCTCAGATGCACAACACAGACACTTCAGCCTGCTCCTCTGCATGGATGGAGTCGGAAACGAAGCTGCACGATCCCATCTGATCAAACCAACCCTTCCAATGACTCTAAAACCCCTACGACACCCCTCGCACGGAAGCACAAAGCAACTTCGCGTAACTCCTTCGAGGAACATACCAATGATGGCCATCATGGCCAGTCTTCCGTTTGCCAACTCCGCCGACAGCTTCTTGGTCTTCTCAGCAGGGTCCGAAGACGTCAGCACCTTGAAGCCATAGTCGCCGGGAGTGCCGCTCTTGTAATCATCGAAGCCGCCGCTGAACTCAACGAAGCCGAAGTAGGCGGCAATCTGGGCCCAACCTGCCACTGGCACCTTGGACACTGCCGCAAGGCCGTTGGGGATATCGGCGAACTTCAAGCCAGCGGATGGGGACAAGAATCCGGGCCTCAGCAAGCCAAAACAAAGGTAGCGGCTTGAACCCGCAGTGACACGCGCATGCTAGCCTCACACGTCAAGACTGCACTCGTCATGCCTCCCATCGAATAGTTGAGGCTTCGACAGCTTGCCGGTGATCTCAGGGGTAATGTAGCCTTGGGAAGCACACTAAGCTCGAACACACTGCGACGAAACGAGAGAGTCAGGGATGGAGGTTCTATTCTTTCGGTGTGCTGTTCTAAATATGCGATGCTGCATCCAAAATGCGTTGATGCACATTCTTCAGTGGTCACGAGCACTAGGTCAGCTGCGATTCACGCTAAGCTCGAACACGCTACGCCGAAACAAGAGAGTCAGGAACGGAAGTTCTATTCTTTCTGTGTGTTGTTCTAAACATGCGATGCTGCATCCAAAATGCTTTGATGAACACTCTTCAGTGGTCACGACCACTAGGTCAGCTGCGATTCACAAGTTTAACGAACCTTCTTGCCGACTCGATCAACTATGATGAACTTGAGGGTCAACGTTATGTAGGTGCCATCAAGTGGCCCATGGTCGCCATCATCGAGATGCGGCCGTGCTTCAACTCCACGGATCTGCGGCGCTTGAATGAGGCAACATCGCCATCGGAGGTGAAGCCGACGGGATCCCAGAACCCGACGGGATCCTGCACGCCGAGCTCGCTCTCGAACGCGCGCAGAGGCGACGCGGTGTAGTTGGCCCAGTCACCCCAGGCGGATCCTGTGAGTCCATCCTGGAAGAACCTCAGATGCACAACACAGACACTTCAGCCTGCTCCTCTGCATGGATGGAGTCGGAAACGAAGCTGCACGATCCCATCTGATCAAACCAACCCTTCCAATGACTCTAAAACCCCTACGACACCCCTCGCACGGAAGCACAAAGCAACTTCGCGTAACTCCTTCGAGGAACATACCAATGATGGCCATCATGGCCAGTCTTCCGTTCGCAAGCTCTGCATTCCTTGAGGCTGCCACGAAGAAGTTGCTGCAGCAAGGCATGCTGCATGCCGACAACATGACAACTTCCAAAATCGTACTCAGCACTCAATGCCAAGTGACAGCTTCTTCGTCTTCTCTGCCGGGTCGCTAGAGGTCAGCACTTTCCAACCGAAGTCCCCGGCATAAGCTGCCGTTCCGGGCTCTTGGGTCTGCGAGGCCTGACCAAGCATGACCAACAACACCTTGCGAGTGAAACTACGCTACTGGGCGGATTCCAGCTGCCAGCGTCTGTCAAGCCCAGTACATCGCACAGGATCATGCGGTCGCAGTGCACGGAACATCAAAGAGATCCCGGTTCCTCTGCAGTCCCGTGGTGAATTGCTGGCATTTGATGCACCCTAACGAACTGTCGAACAGGTTGCTCCGACTGCGTCTGTTCCCAGACTTCTTCATGCCCCGATCATGAAGCAGTTGCAAAACAATCCGCCTCGCAGTAGGCCATGTAGAGCAAGATCTGCCCCCAACCAGCCTGTGGAACCTCCAACTGCAGGATTGGCAAAGATACGTAAGTGCAATGCTGCATGCCTTCTCCAAGTTGCATAAGTCTATGTTTAAACAAAACGCAAGAAACCCAGCTCCTCACCCAACCGCAGGCGAGAAAAAAGAAAAGGAAGAAACAGAGTCCGAAGGACCGAAGGGTTCGCAAGGTTTGAAGCCCCATGCCCGACGCAGTAAAACCGCCAGAAATCCCGAAGATCGGGTGTTCGTCAGCAAGCGAAAAACCAAAGCGCTTTCACTCAAGCATCTTTGTCCTTGAAAGCGTTGGGGAGATGAAGAATCCTACCCAGCAGGCACCTTGGAGATCGCCGCAAGGCCGTTGGGCACATCGGCGAACTTCAAGCCGGCTGATGGGCTCAAGTAGCCCGGAAACTTGCCGGTGATCCTTACGCAGAGGCGAAGATGCGACTGAGCAATGACTCTCAGAACTGCGTTGCCTGCACCTAACTAGGTCCGAGGAAGTACCAATCCCGAAGACCCGCCAGAAAGGTATCCGAAGCAGTAAGCCATGTCCCTTGATTTCGTATCTAAATTCCTGCTCAGTCAGATTTTATTGCCTTAATTTCGTCACTCAACAAGTGAGCTCCTAAGGCTCTACCTGGCTCCTAAGAGCCCTTGCTGATGAAGCCCAGGGCGTCCGTGCAGGCGTGCAGGCTTTGCAGGTGAAACCCAGCACACAAACGAGCTTCCAGCCTCCCATCCTCCCATCTGCAGCCAGGACACTCCGGCGTAATGTAACCCATCGTGGCCAGCATCGCCTCTTCTGTTCCGGGTGCTTCCGGTCAAGGCGCTCTTACGCTCAACACACTGCTCTGCTAGCAGTACGGGACTCTTCGGGAGAAGCTTCACTACCTTTTCCAAACCAAAACCCGCAGCATAGAAAGGGTTTTGAGATGCAACTTCGATCTTCTGTGATACACCAGAGCCCTGAAGCCGAAACCCAAGGCAGCGAGGGTGCAATGCGACCGTGCTTGAGCTCCGTGGCGCGTCGGCGCTTGAAGTTCTCCACGCTGCCATCGGAACCTGGGCGGACAAGAGTTTCTCCTGCCTCGTTTCCCTTTCTCCACCCGCTGTTCCTGCGGCCACTGCTTCTGCTGCCGCTGCTACTGCGGATCCTGCTGCTGCTGCTGCCGCTGCTGCTGCCGCTGCTGCTGCCGCTGCTGCTGCTACTGCTAGGAGGAGGACGAGCATAAGCACGACTACTGCCAGTACTGCTACAACTGCTACTACTGGCATTGCCACCACTTGGAGTCGCTGCTGCAGACCTGTACCAAGCCGTTGACGACGTCAAAGGATGAGATGGTAAAGTTATGTCTCAGCGCGGCGCAAGTGATTGAGAGTTCAGGACGATTGTGGTCCCGACAAGGCAAAGAAAATCATGACCGTGTACCCAGAACAAGAGCAATAGCCACTTCGGATTCCACTGACCAGACGACAAAGGTTGGCGGCAGTCCTCTGGGGGCTCAATATATGGTCACAGAAAGCTTCATGTCTGTGCGAAGGCAGCAGTGTCTGCATACGTACGTACACATGTCCTTCAGCACAGAGGCATGCATGCATGTGCGCATATGCAACTGTATCTGTCTGCGCTACCATGTGCAAAACTATACGTCATGTCTGTGTCTGCGTCCATGCTCACGCTTATGTCTGCCTTTGTCTGAATGTCGATGTGCATGTACCTGACATGTACATATATACATGTACATGTGCATGTGCATGTATGTGTACATGCACGTGCACAGGGAAATGTTCAGAAAACCTACCTGTGGATAGACGTAGTGTAGCAGAGCAGCTCAGGCCGGCAGGATCCCAGAAACCCACTGGCGCCTGAACACCGAGCTCGCTCTCGAAGGCCTCCCGAGGATTGGAAACCAAAGTCGAGGAAAGGAAGCACAAAGTTCAGAGGAAATCAGGAAAGGGAGGAGTCCTACACTGCACCACGTCATCAACGAAACACAGGGGACGGCCGCCAGCCTTCCAGAAGGAGCTAGGGTTGCCGGCCCAGTAGCCCCAAGGGGAGCCGGTGAGTCCGTCCTGGAAGAAGAGGCCAATAATGCCCATCATGGCCAGGCGGCCGTTGGCAATCTCGGAGTTCAACTTCTTCTTCTTGATCTCCGGGTCGTCAGAGGTGATCACCTTCCAACCGAAGTCGCCATCATACGCAGGGGTGCCCGGGATCTGCTTCCGGGAGATCTCGCAGAAGGCCATGTACGCCAAGATCTGCGCCCAGCCCGCCACAGGCACCTTTCCGATGGCTGCAAGGCCGTTTGGGATGTCTGCGAACTTCAAGTCCATGGATGGCGACAAGTACCCTGGGAACTTGCCGGTGATCCTTGGAAGTCAACGCGAAATCACGATTCCGATAAGCGAGAAGGCACGTCGTGAAGCTGTGGCTATCCAAAGACTGTCTCAAACGCTCTTTCCCGAAGCTTGCAAAGATACAGCCAACTCTCAGACAACATCTCCCGAATCCGTTCGAATGCCTCGAAGTGCTTGCCCCCACTGCGGCCGGAGTTGCTCTGGAGTCATGAAGCCCATGGTTGCAAGCATGGCCTGAGCTCTTCAACTGCACTACCAACCTGCACGATGCCGGCATGTGGCCCCATCTCCATCCGAATCACACAGAACCGGAAAGACAAAAAGACGAAAGCGCTCTTTTCAGAAGAAGCGGCAATTCGGCCATGCTTCAGCTCGGTGGCGCGGCGGCGCTTGAAGGCGTCGACGTCACCGTCGGCAGTGAAGCCGATGGGGTCCCAGAATCCGAAAGGTGCCTGCACTCCGAGCTCATTCTCGAAGGCCTTCCAGAAGGAGCTGGGGTTGCCGGCCCAGTAGCCCCAAGGGGAGCCGGTGAGTCCGTCCTGGAAGAAGAGGCCAATAATGCCCATCATGGCCAGGCGGCCGTTGGCAATCTCGGAGTTCAACTTCTTCTTCTTGATCTCCGGGTCGTCAGAGGTGATCACCTTCCAACCGAAGTCGCCATCATACGCAGGGGTGCCCGGGATCTGCTTCTGGGAGATCTCGCAGAAGGCCATGTACGCCAAGATCTGCGCCCAGCCCGCCACGGGCACCTTTCCGATGGCTGCAAGGCCGTTTGGGATGTCTGCGAACTTCAAGTCCATGGATGGCGACAAGTACCCTGGGAACTTGCCGGTGATCCTTGGAAGTCAACGCGAAATCACGATTCCGATAAGCGAGAAGGCACGTCGTGAAGCTGTGGCTATCCAAAGACTGTCTCAAACGCTCTTTCCCGAAGCTTGCAAAGATACAGCCAACTCTCAGACAACATCTCCCGAATCCGTTCGAATGCCTCGGAGTGCTTGCCCCCACTGCGGCCGGAGTTGCTCTGGAGTCATGAAGCCCATGGTTGCAAGCATGGCCTGAGCTCTTCAACTGCACTACCAACCTGCACGATGCCGGCATGTGGCCCCATCTCCATCCGAATCACACAGAACCGGAAAGACAAAAAGACGAAAGCGCTCTTTCAGAAGAAGCGGCAATTCGGCCATGCTTCAGCTCGGTGGCGCGACGGCGCTTGAAGGCGTCGACGTCACCGTCGGCAGTGAAGCCGATGGGGTCCCAGAATCCGAAAGGTGCCTGCACTCCGAGCTCATTCTCGAAGGCCTTCCAGAAGGAGCTGGGGTTGCCGGCCCAGTAGCCCCAAGGGGAGCCGGTGAGTCCGTCCTGGAAGAAGAGGCCAATAATGCCCATCATGGCCAGGCGGCCGTTGGCAATCTCGGAGTTCAACTTCTTCTTCTTGATCTCCGGGTCGTCAGAGGTGATCACCTTCCAACCGAAGTCGCCATCATACGCAGGGGTGCCCGGGATCTGCTTCTGGGAGATCTCGCAGAAGGCCATGTACGCCAAGATCTGCGCCCAGCCCGCCACGGGCACCTTTCCGATGGCTGCAAGGCCGTTTGGGATGTCTGCGAACTTCAAGTCCATGGATGGCGACAAGTACCCTGGGAACTTGCCGGTGATCCTTGGAAGTCAACGCGAAATCACGATTCCGATAAGCGAGAAGGCATGTCGTGAAGTTCCCGAAGCTTGCAAAGATACAGCCAACTCTCAGACAACATCTCCCGAATCCGTTCGAATGCCTCGAAGTGCTTGCCCCCACTGCGGCCGGAGTTGCTCTGGAGTCATGAAGCCCATGGTTGCAAGCATGGCCTGAGCTCTTCAACTGCACTACCAACCTGCACGATGCCGGCATGTGGCCCCATCTCCATCCGAATCACACAGAACCGGAAAGACAAAAAGACGAAAGCGCTCTTTTCAGAAGAAGCGGCAATTCGGCCATGCTTCAGCTCGGTGGCGCGGCGGCGCTTGAAGGCGTCGACGTCACCGTCGGCAGTGAAGCCGATGGGGTCCCAGAATCCGAAAGGTGCCTGCACTCCGAGCTCATTCTCGAAGGCCTTCCAGAAGGAGCTGGGGTTGCCGGCCCAGTAGCCCCAAGGGGAGCCGGTGAGCCCATCCTGGAAGAAGAGGCCAATAATGCCCATCATGGCCAGGCGGCCGTTGGCAATCTCGGAGTTCAACTTCTTCTTCTTGATCTCCGGGTCGTCAGAGGTGATCACCTTCCAACCGAAGTCGCCATCATACGCAGGGGTGCCCGGGATCTGCTTCTGGGAGATCTCGCAGAAGGCCATGTACGCCAAGATCTGCGCCCAGCCCGCCACGGGCACCTTTCCGATGGCTGCAAGGCCGTTTGGGATGTCTGCGAACTTCAAGTCCATGGATGGCGACAAGTACCCTGGGAACTTGCCGGTGATCCTCGGCAGCCATGAGTTATACGCCATATGTTCACGATCCTGCCCCACTCCCTCTGGATCCACCACCCGAGCATGTTGATGCTAGCTTGTCTGTAATTATGTCTTTGCGATTGTCATTTCATGTCAATACGACATAGCTACGTGATGCTACTTGGCTCCGGAAAGCCCCCGCTTCGTACGAGATGCTCCGGAGTCATGAAGCCCATTGTCGCCAGCATGGCCTCAGCCAGTTTCGGATTTTGGAGTTGGGGGATGCTGTGAGGTTTACAGATGTTTACAAGCTCTCTGTTAAGCAGCCCAGTCGCAATTCTACCGTGCTTGAGCTCGGTGGCCCGTCGGCGCTTGAAGGCGTCGACGTCGCCATCTGCGGTGAAACCAATGGGGTCCCAGAACCCGAAAGGTGCCTGCAGCTGTGCGCGCAGCAGCGCACAGGCATGTCGGTGCTTCTCGGGTATCAGTGGTCACATCATATCACATCCTGCCCATGTAAACGCGTGGAAGAGGAAAGGTTCAAGTTCATGCAACGCTTAAAGACTCCTTTTCGCCATGCCGAAGACCAAAGAACCGGAGCATGCCTGAACGCCGAGCTCATTCTCAAAGGCGCTGACGACCACCTTCCGTGTCGTGCCACCAATCATAGTCCCAGGCGGCAACAAACTGTCCTATGACGTTAGGATCATTAGCGCGCACTGGGACGCGCAGAGTGACGCCTCCAAGGGCCTACTGCATGGAATCATCCTGAGGCTTTCCTCACCACCTCGCCTGCTATCCCCAAACCTTGCGAACTTCGAACTGCCTGAGCCCTGTCCTTCAAATCCCAAACTCCCAGTAGCAAGGACAACAATGGATAGAGCAATGGTGATAACAGCAATACTAATAACAATAATAACAACATTGACGATACAAATAATGACAATCATGAGAATAATAACAACAACGCCCATAATAACAGTAATACTCCCAATGATGCTAACAACAAACAAACA